GCTACACTTGGAGAAGTGCTTTGTTTCCTGTAACCCTGATTCAAGGCTACACTTGGAGAAGTGTATTGCTTGTAAGAGTTGTTTTGTATTCTGTTATCTGCTTGAAAGAGACTTTATTTCTGTTTATTTTGGGCTCGCAGCCAGTTTGAGCTGAGGACTGATAAAGAGAGTTCCTTTTAAGTTTGTCTGCCTGCCGTTTGTTAACGAGCTGAGAAGGGGGGGACAGAACAATTGCTACTTTGGATTTCCCTGGATTTCTCATGAGTCACTTCACAGAGCTGTTCTGAGGTGTTCCCTGTGCATGCACATGTATGCAGAAGTAGCTGGGAACAGCTTTCAAAGCAGCTGCATTGAGTCTTCTGGAAGATGTGGCTCCTAGCTTAACTCCTTGCTAAGAGTGCTCTGATATCCAGATAGTTTTATATACTGAAATACTAGTTTATAAAAATATGAGAAGAACTCTGCCTATGAAGTTCAGAATGCTGTGTAATACAATGACCAATCAAAAGTATTCAGAAGTTTCACTAGCATGGATAGGATGAATGATTTCACATCTTCTGTTCATTCAGGATAATTCTGAAGAATAGGGGGTGGGATACTTAACTGAAACATTAATTTATCAACTGCTGACACCTGTAATATAATTTTCAACACTTTTAACAAACATAGTTTGCTGGTCCAGATATTTCTGTCATTGGGTATCTATTTTATTTGGGGTTCATTTTACTTTTCATCATAATTTACTTTGAATCCAGGTTTAATTGGCCTAACAGTAGAAGTAAGGTAATGATAATATCTGTCCTAGATTATTTTCAGTATTGTAAATAAACTGATACAAAAGAATCCCATCTGACTCTTACTATGGAAGGCATCTTTGACATTCTCATGCCAGTGCTTTGTCCAATCTGGGGCCTACAATTGCCACTAGACAATTGACTTCGAAGTTGGGATTGGATGACATCACACGTCCAAGGTATCTCTGTAGCGCACTAGATTGGGAAAAGATGGATTGAGTGATTTGTTGATTAATTGTCATTCCTGCTATTTTTTTGGCTATAAAGGGAATCTGTCATATCACTGTCGTAATTGTGTTGTAAGAATGAGTGTACAGGATAAATGATCTAATTGCTGTTATATTACCGGAGCTATATAAAAAGCAGTTTCAGGCTTTGAGATAAATTTTTAATGAGAAATTACTAGGTTTTCTGCAGTCTTTCTTTTTGTCTCAGAATCCTGGCATTATGTGCCTTAGTTGAAAAATTGCCTTTTGGTATTTTAAACTATGATGTCTGTAAATGTCATCAGCTTCTGTGATTCATTATTGCAGTGTAATTCATACAGTGATTAGATGGTTCTCACCTTCTAATGGAGGTCTGGGATTATCCAGTTCCTTTCCAGTAATTTGCATTCAATCAGAAGTTTTTAAATTAGGCCTTGCCAAGATTAGCACTTCCCAATAGAGCAGTTTCAGGATAAAATTAGCAGATATACATAGATAGGTCAATGTAGAACATACATAGAGGGATCTGTGGGAGTATTACAGGAAACCAGATTTTCATATGCCAGTGATGGCTAACCTTTTCTGGACCGAATGCCCAAAGGGTGTGTGTGTGTGTATGCACTTATGCACATGCCCAACCCCCCCCCCCCAAATGCCATGTGCACAAACGCCCCCCCCCCATACATGAGCGGCAGAGACCTAAAGACCAGCTGGCTGGTGGGAGGCATGTGCACATGCATGGTGGAGATAAACTGGGGCAATGGCTCATATGCCCACTGAGAGGGCGCTGCATGCCACCTCTGGTAGGTGTGCCATAGGTTCGCCATCACAGGTATATATCATTATTTTTCTATTAATTGTGATTAACCATCAAATGCTTAATTTTAATAGATCAGCTGCTATAAATTGGACAAATAATGCTTTTTGGTATATTTATTTAACTTTTTCCGCCCTTGACATTTTGTCTAATTCAGCATTTCCCAACCTAATGTCTACCCAGATATGTGTGACTTCAGTTCCCCAAATTCTCAACCAGCATGGACTTTGGCTAGACTGAGCTAGGAAGCAATGACTGACTGACTCAATTAGATTGAGCGGAGAGAAGTCTAAGCTCTGCTCACTCAATAAGATCCATGAATGAATTGGATGTCTAATCCACTACTGTTGGTAAAGCATACATATTTATGTTATATGAGCAATCTCAACACTATTTAGTTTTATTCTATAGTGAGCTGAAGTACTGATATAATTTTCCAAATGCTGAAAGTATGGATATAAATTGAGTGACCCAATGCCGCCTTTTCTGCAAATGAGAATGATCTAGTAAAAATATGTTATAAAATCTTCCATATTTGGTACTGTATATCTTGTATTTACAAATTGATATATTTGGAAAGAAATTTTTTTAGAGAGATTAGTTTGAAAAGAAAAAAATGAACCTGATGAAATCACATCAGTGAAAAGTAATATTTTTCAGCACTTTACATAGAACTTGTATTTTCCATCCAGAGTGTTTTGGATTTGGAATTAGTAGCAGACAATTCAATAGAAAAATTTCCACTGAATTCCCGAGTTTTAGAAATTGCAATCTGTTGGATTTAAAACCATTTCAAGTGTTTATTTGTCCCACTAGAGCCGTGTTGGCGAACTTGTTTGGCACCAAGTGCCAAAACGGGAACATAGGCGCATGTGCACACCAGAAACTGGAAGCTCAGCTTCCCAGCACACACATGTGCACCAGAGAGCTGCTCTTCCTGTTTCCAGCACTCCCAGCACACAGAGACCCGCTGGCTGGCATGCATGTGTGTGCTGGAACCTGGAAGAGCAACGGGTGATGGCTGGCATGTCATCATCACGAGAGCTTGAAAGAAACAAAAAATTTACTTGATAGCCATCAGTCTCACTTAATTCTGGAAAATGTAATAATTAAACAGTTGGGATATGAATGTGGTTAATATTTGACCTTTCTCCATGTAAGGACAAAATCATTTATGAAAAAAATATATGAAAAAATCACGGCTTAACATAGGCCTTAAAAAATTCAAAATGTTTTCTAATTAAAATAAAATATTTAAGTAGTCCATGGGTAAGCTTGAATAGATAGTTTTAAAAGACGAGGAGGATATATTGTTTTTCATTTAGTATATAACTGATCTAATAGTATTTTACTTTCTTTGTGGATGTTTTGGTAGGATTTGTGAACTTGAAGAACTGGGAGAGTTGTCACCTTGCTGGGAAAGTCTTCGTCGGCAAATAGTCACTCAGTACCAAACAATTATTCTGACTTATCAGGACAACATGACAAATCTTCATCAGTATAAAGGTAGATGCTTCAGACATAATTTTTAAGATGGTTTTTGTTGCCTTTTCTTTAGAAGTAAATTGCTGTCTAAATGTACTCTTTATACAGACCCAATTGCATAGTTTCATAGAAATTGTTTTGTTTGCTTATGTCATTTGGTTTTACCAGGATGGGTATAGAATGTGGAACCTTGTATACTATCCATTACGATCCATACTAGTTTTCTTTGTCCAGGAAGATTGGAAGTGGATATAGAAGAAGAATTCTTTAAAACTAATGACAGCTTATGCATTCAGTACAAATGAAAGGCAGTAGAACCACAAAGTAAAATAATAATGGATCTAGTTGCTACAAAAAAAATCACTAAAATATTTTGAAATGCCATTAAAAGCAAAAGAACAGCGGATATATTTGTGTCCAAAATAGATCAGAAATGAGTCTGTATAAATACTAAGGTTGAGGAAGAACAGAAAGAATGCTCTGAATCATACTGGGATTTGTAGCTTACAAAAAATTTGCCTTTTTAAAAATAAATAAATAATTTGTCTTTTTAAAAATTGCATTGTTTATTTCGGTGTTTGCATGGAATTTTAGTTTTTAAACAACAACCCTTTTCTACTAAGCTAGATAGAGCAGGAACAGCTACATGAATATCTTTACAATACTGGACTTCTTCAGTTTTGATCTAACAAGTTTAACTTAAAAAAAAAGAGGAATACAACTAAGGGATGCTGAACATTATAATGAAGTCTACTACATTTCACTCTACTGGCAGTTTTAAACACACTTTGCCCATTGAGGTCACTTCCAGTATTGGAGCTCAGTTGAAGAAGAAATGGTTGGGCAAAATACTGTAAACTTTGAGGAGGGATCTGGACTTGTCATTTTTATGACTCTTTTGCCAAGGTCAAGGTTAAAAAAAGTCAAGGTTAAAAAAAAGTTAGGTTTGCCTTTATTGGGACAATGTTTTTTGGTATTCATCACATTGAATTTCAGATGAAACATTCAAGATGTCAATGGTGAAGACTTTTAGTTTTAATTCAAGGACTTTGACAAAAGTATTTCCATTGATAAGTTCTCATCTAGGCAAGGCCTAACTTAAAATCTTCTGATTGAATGCAAACTACTGGAATAGGGGTGAATATTCCCAAACCTCCATTATAGTCCAAATATATACAGTTTATAGTTTATAGTTTTATTGAACTTGTATGCCGCCCTATTCCCCGAGGGGACTCAGGGCGGCTAACAAACTAAATAGGGGAAAGGGGAAAAACAAATCACTCAATCCATCTTTTCCCAATC